AACAGTTTCTCTGACAAACAAAACGGTGAATAGAAAAGACGACAGAGCAGAGAAAAATAAGAATCCTATGAAATCTTATCGTACGATTTCATAGAATTTTATACGAATCCTACAATAAGAATCGTAGCACAGTATTTGGGTTAAAAAAATTTTGATAGCGTATATACTTGAGTAAAATCCTATAATAAAAAAAGTTTGAATCCTATATTTCTACCAATTGTCATTTCCTCTATATAATTTGAAACTAGAAAAAAAAAGGAAAAAAAGACAAACTTTCAGTGTAGATGTCAAACAACAATTAGCATCATCATTTCAAACCATTGTTGAATATTAAGGTTAATATAGTGTATCGTCACAAATTTTTCGTCTTATTTTTTCTTTTTCGACGTCTGTTTTACTTGTACACTTTCACTTTTTTCTTTCACTTATTTTATATCAAGCGGTATAGTATAGTTGATCTTTTTCTCATATTTTCTCTCGTTTCCTAATTCGTCAACATAAATAACAAAATGAGTTACTTGTGTTCTGTTCTATATTACACACTCGTCAATATATTATTTTAATTATTTAAACTATTATTTATAGTTAATAGAGCCATATCACATAAGGAATATCTATATCTTTTCACATCTTGACAAATGTTAGCAAATGTCTCTATAGACATTTGCTAACATTTGCCAAGATGTGAAAAGATATAGATATTTCTTATTTGATACGGCTCTACTAAAAGATAATGGTATCTATGCAAATGACAGTAAACGGCCTGCCCACAGAAGTTTCTTACCGCAAGTGTGATACATTAAAATGGTAATAACTTTTTGAAGAAAAACAGTAGAGACTTGGGCAACATTTCGTTGGAAAGAAGGGCAAAGCTCTTTATAATCGGATCTAAGCACTGAGGTGAAAAAATGTGAAAAATACGTATCTCTCAACTTCATATTTTTTGTCAAAGAACATCGAGTTGTTTGAAATTTCTGAACAATTCGCTTGAATTCAATTTTAAACAGCTTTATCTTTCTTTTCAACGAAATGTTGTTCGAGGCTCCACTATTTTTCATTAAAAAGTTATGACCATTTTATTTTCAAAGTTTGATTTTGATCTTTTTTTGGAAAACCAGAAAGCTCATCTGTCAGCATTGTACAAGTGCACCTAGAACTGCCGATCAGCGAGCAAGATAAAGGATATCGTAAGAGTGACGGTATTGGAATGCTACCTTGTTCTTATTGTCCTTTAATAGACATAGTGTTTCAAGACTTTTTACGGGACTTGATTTTGAGGTTTCATTATGATACAGAAAATGTTCAGCTTCAGACTTTGTTTTTTCTTCCTATCCTAAACCTGGCAGGATAAGTTAGTAGAAAATCAGATAAAATCTTACAATAGGATCTTGTAGGATGTTGCAAGAGCTGATTACAGGATCCTATAAGAATCTTACAGTAGAATTTTTTAGGTTTTAGGTTTTCCTACAAAGTCGTCCTACAAGATTATTGTTAGATCCTAAAGAAGAATCATGTAAGATCTTGTAGAATCCTATGATAGGATTGTTTGACCGGGTGTTTCTACGGTGGTAGCAGAGCAAGTTCATTTGTTTCCTTTTCCGAATCTAGAGCAAAAATAAATATGACCACAACAGACTTTATTGTTAATGATGATGATCCCATTTCATCAACCAGCAACCACAACAATGCTATCATAACAGTTCCGTTAAAACAATTAAGTGATTCAGCTCGAATGTCGCCAGACGAATATGGACAAATATGTGCGAATACTTTACAGGAGAATGATGATTACGACAATTATTTATTTGAAAAAATCAATATTAAACAAAATAAATTAGGTTTATATTTAATTAATATGAGACAAAAAATTTATAATGAATTTTATAAACCACAAGAGGTATGAATCCGTTGCGTGTATCACCAGTTATTTGAGAATTTTTTTCATTTTTAGAAAATATTTCGTTTGCTGTTAAAATTTACTACCTTATGTTTATTTATTATTTATTTGGGCTTTGCTATGAGTCCACGATATGGACGAGTACCGTTTCCCATTAAAAATTATATATTTGCTGATGGAAATCAAGGTAGGTTGATTTCCGATGCAACACGCCCGATTTTTGACATAGCCTTTTCTAAAGTCAAGAAGAGTATGGTCTCTGAACTTGAGCTTAAACATGACATACTAAATTGTGGATTTATAAGCTTTAGTTATTCAAGAAAGAAGGAAAATAAGTGAAGAGAACAAAAAGAAAGAGGCGAACCCATTGTGTCATTTTGCCATAACGCATCAACTGAGGTACAAATTATATTCTCAACTGCGATACAATTCATATTTTAATTTTGTATCTCACGAGGAAAGTACCCCAGCTGTTTAAATGCTTTTGACCTGAAGTTTAGTGGACAATAGGTAATCGAGTGTGCTGAATCCGAATATCACATTTGTTTGGGCCCAATTTTAGTTTAGAGATCCGGTTTTTCAACGACCCGATTTTCAAGCTGGAAAACTTTTCGAAACAAAAAATGTTTTTGATCCAGCCATATGAAAGAGCTCATCGCCACACCTAAGCAAAACATATTTTTAGGTTTTAGAAGAGGTTTTAAGCGGGTTTTAAAAGTGCAAAACTTAAAACTGCAGCGGAAAAACGAGTTTTTGTTCTTATACGTTTTGTGCGACAAAAT